CTATACGCCTGGCTGCTACCTCCTTTGCCATGACGACGTCATTGGTAGCCGGCGCGTTAGCTATATCCTCTACCTCGTCGACCCCGACACGCCCTGGAAGCCCGAATGGGGTGGCGCGCTCCGTCTGTTCCCCGTACAGGAGCTCAAGGACAAGGAGGGCGAGATTGCCAAGACACCGCTTCCTGACGTTACAAAGATCATTCCGCCTGCATGGAACCAGCTGAGCTTCTTCGCTGTCCAGCCTGGAGAGAGTTTCCACGATGTCGAGGAGGTCTATCGCGCCGAAACCAAGGAGCAGCTTGAGAAGGACGGTGGTCGCATTCGCATGGCTATCAGTGGATGGTTCCATATTCCCCAGATTGGAGAGGAGGGCTACATCAAGGGAGAAGAGGAGAGAAACGCCAAAAACAGCGGCTTGATGCAACTTCAGGGCAATCCTGCTCAGTACGATATGCCTCAGCCTCAGGTTATGAAGGTTGATAAGGCCAGTCAGGAGGGCTTCGATGAAGCTGATCTTGAATTTCTGCTCAAGTACATCTCGCCAGCATACCTGGTTCCCGACGCCTTGGAAGAGATCTCCGAGACCTTCAACGAGATGTTTGAAATCACCTTGCCAGATATTTTGGGCAAGAAGTTTGCCCAGCGCCTAAGGGACTACGTTGAGGCTGAGGAGAAGAAACCCGCACAAGAAGATACCCCTACGATAGAAAAGACGACTTCGTGGCGTGTAGCCAAGCCTCCTCACAAGGCGCGATATCTCTATCAACAGCCCAGCGGACCTGATCAGCTTCGCACCTCACAGGAGGAATCTCCCATCACTGAACTTCTCGACATCTTCCTACCCAGCCGTCAGTTCCGCCAATGGCTCCAGATGGCCACAAAAACCACCATCGAAAGTGCCGATCTCCTCGCGCGTCGTTTCCGCCGCGGTCTCGACTATACTCTCGCCACTGGCCATGAGGGCAAGGCGCGCGTCGAGATTAACCTTGGATTCACACCTACATCTGGCTGGGGCGACGATGAGGAAGAGGATCCCGAGGAAGAAGCTGAAAATCAGAACGGCGAGGACATAAAGAATAAAGGAAAAGGCAAAGCCAAGGCTGTAGAGAAAAAGAAGAAGGAAGAGGAGGAAACACCTGAAGTCGGCGGCCAAGAGATCTTCATGTCCGGTGACGATGATGCCGATGACGATGCAGCCGTATACAAGACAGGCGGCGACGATGACGACAACATTCTCTTCTTCCAAGCTGCGTCATGGAATAAGATGACTATTGTTATGCGTGACAGCGGCGCTCTTAAGTTTGTCAAATATATCAGCAAGAGCGCCAAGGGCGACCGATGGGATATCTCTGGCGCCTTTGAGATCGAAGAGGAGGAGGACGACGATGAAGACGCTGGCGAAGGAGCTGCGCCAGATGATGACGATGATGATGAGGAATTCCAAGGCTTTTCACCCGATGCAGCTGAGAGCGACTCTGAATAAGAGCGATATGAGAATACAGGTTGATGCTTGCATTTTATTGCAATAATAGATACCAGGACAAAAAAGCACGGTAATGATTGAAAATCTGTTTGATAATAAATTCTTTTTAAATAGCCTTCTTGATGCAAATTGACACGCTTTCGCGTGATAGTCTCTGTGAAACTCCATCGTGGTATCATTATAACCAACTCCCGATATACCGCCGTGATTCCGTTATATGTGCATGTTAAATATTGAATGTCCCAAAAACCTGATTCATGTTTGCCTTTACTCTGGCGCTCCTCACAACCCAAGAGCGGGTTCGGATTTATGGTTGAAGAGGCTAGCCACTTCTGCCTGCAATAGCTCCGTAATTCCCTGCGCTTCTTGTGTTCTCCCAGATTGGGTCAAGTGGTTGACTGTGTCGTGGCCTAAGAAGGCGAGCCATGATACGGTGCTTAGCTTATCTGGCTTCGACTTCTTAGGCTCAACAGTATTAACTAGCTGCCGTAATCTTTGCTTGTCTTTGAAGAAGTTCAGAGCAGGAAGGTGATCGGGATGTGTGGGGTGGTAAAGGTGTAAATGAGCACGTTCCAAGAGAAAAGGTTGTGGCAGACGATCGGCCGTGGCAATATGAGCATCAAACAGTTCTTCAGATGGAGCCGGTCGACTGTAGGATTCGACGGTCGAGAGCCATGAGACTGACCTCCATGACGAGACTAGAAGATCTGATAGTAGTGGGCTGGTCCGGAAAAGTTGCTGTGCTTGCAACATGGTAGAGATGCCTGAGTCAAGGTTGCCATATTGAGGCTGACACTTGGTCTTGACGAGTTCCCCGAGTAAGTTGGATGCTCTCCTGAGACGCTTTTCATTTGTCAGGTCTCCGGAAGTGTTATTGATTGTTCGCGCAAGCCATTCCCAAGCAATCTCCTCCATGCCTTCCGCCACCAGGAACGGAGACAACGCTCTGATAAAAGAATAATTGTCCATGAACCGTAGATCCTGCTCAGCACCGCAAGCTCGGAGCCATCTTATGATACGGCTTGACATACCCGATGTAGCTAGACCCCCAAGGCCTGGCTCATTCGCCTGCAGTTGCTTTGCTTTGGCGACCATCACACCAATGGCGGCCTTGGGTGTCATCAATCCTCGAGCTACAGCATGGTCGAAAACCTCTATAGGATCACGCGTTGGTGCAGCCAAAGAAGGCGATGCTAGGTTTGAAGGGAACGTCGATGTGACATCTTTGTTGTAGCTGAACAGCGGGTTCGACAGGATATCTTTCAAATGCCGGTTTGTAGCAGATAGTCGGGCAGGATCAACATCTATAGGTTTCGTGGCAGCCGGTGATAGACTGTTGGGGCTCTCTCCATATTCGCGATCGAGCTGTTTTCGAAAGGAAGTCTTGAGACCGTCAAGAAGCTTTTGAGATTGCTGTTTCGACAAGGGTAGAGGTTCGTGATAGGATGCGAACAGGTTCTTGAGTGACTGAACCGACTTCGTTGTGAACATGGCGGGCCAGAGAGTGTGAGTCTGGTAGGCGGTTGTATTGCTGTCAGACCCTACCCTCAATAACACCAGAGGGATGTAGGGATGCAACGAATTGTCGGGAAAGCAGTGTGGAGTAGAGTCAGTGTTGATGGGTTTCGGACTCGGTCATGCGTTCTGAAGTTGAATCTAGCATGATGCCATCGTCGAACGAGTTACGCCACAAAGCGGGCCGCTGAGACGCATCATGTGATGCAAGGGGTTCCAGCCTCGGGTGGCTCACTCCAAAACATGGGGAAAGCCACCACTGCTCCTTTGACTTCCAAGAGGCTCCTACTCGTCATGCTATACCTTTCTCAAATACATTTGCAGATCTATATTAATCTCTGGGTCTGAGCGGCCTGTTACAGCAAGCTACTGGTGTTCTTTACGCCCGATAGAGGGCGAAATACACGGTACATAGTATGAACACAAAATGTGAGTATGAATTGCGGATGAATACATACCTAGGTATGCAAAGCAAGGAGTGGAGGGAGCTTGAGTGGACACAGCCTGACTGCGCTAAGCGTGCAGGTGGGTCTCAAAATAATCCGCACACCAAAGCTCTCTCACCATAGTAAGACAGAGTTACTGACATAAGTAAGCAGGTCACAGCTAGCCTTTAATTCCACAATACATTTCTGTCAGCCTTCTTGTGTGTGCGTATTATTTTGCGACCCACCTGGCGTGCTTGTGTTGGAAGAGCCCCTGGCCTGAAAATTGGTCTTTGGCTGGTGTATCGAGACTTCGATGATCGTCTAGCTCATTCCTTTTGAGCGCTAGATGCGGCCAGTCAAAAGTACCAGTACGTGATATTGTGTGAGGGTGCCTGACAGGAGCCTCACAGCTTGCGGGTGAGTGCTGACAGCCGAATATTCAGGTGCCGCATTCTCAAACCACCATTCGCAATGTATTGAGGACATGGCGCTTGATTATCTGACCGGCGTGTAACCACCAATTGCGTCTCAATGAGACTCGGCACGCCTGAGAAAAGAGCGGTGATGGAAAACGCGCCTCTAGGAACATGTATTATCGTTATGCTTGACTTTCCGCATGAAGCATCTGATAGGCAAGTCCCTGTCCCTGAAATGCGAATGTGACGTCCTTCTCCAACATTTCGAGTCCAAGTCCGATTATTTGCTACGTGCTCGTGTGGGCTTCTCGCAGGGGCCCGAACACGGCGAGCTCCAAACTCCAAGATCCTTGGCTAAACTTGGGGCTAAGCGACCAAGGGAAGGTCAAGGCCTCTGACTCTCGAGGTACCGAGTGACACAGAGACGGCAAAGGACAGCTATGCGTCCGACAAGTAGATGTACTTGCGGCCATGCCGTTGAGGTACTGACGCCACCTGGCAAACTGTCTCCAATAGCTAGGTCGATCTGCTTCCGGCCAGGGCAAAGTGTCGACGTCGGACGTTTTCGATTGGACGAATTGAATGTTTTAGATCCTTGGACGCTTTGGTTAGGGTGTTCAGCGCAGCGTGGGAGCACCTATTGAGCCACTGTAAGAGGGCTGAGATATAGCGCAGACGTGTCTGTCAAGGGGGCCAGAAGAGGCCTGAAGAAGGGACCTCACGTTCTCACAGCCGCTAGAGGCAAAACCTTCGTAACCTAACCTCCACCTCCTCCACTGCCACTGACGGACGGAGCTGGTGCTGAGTGCCCTGAAAGTGAACGCAAGCCCAAGGCTCCATTTCTTCTGCTTTGCTTCTGGGGAAAACCTCGTCCCGTCTCCTCCTCCTCTCCCTTTGACTAGCACCAACCAAAACACAATAAACTCTTTCCTCTCTTCTCCATCCATCATCGACGCCTTCAACTGTCGACCACGGATTCACGGTCGACTTTGTCCTTCAACCTGCCTGTTGTTCCCGCAGAGGACAGCTGACAGGCCGCTTCCTTTTTTTCTTTCATTGACTTCCTCTCCACACTTTGAGTTTGAGCCTCCATAGCTCTCCTCCCGCACAACACGCACACACACACACCCAACCCCATAATCAAACACAACCCATCTAATGTCCGAAGTGACTTCACGGACGTCCGCCTCGCGTGGCAGAGGCTCTGGCCGCGGTGGTAGAGGAGGTTTCGCCGGTCGCGGCGGCCGACGAACCAATGGCGACAAGCCCGACCACAGTACCGCTGATTCCCAAGGTGCATTCGAAGATGAAGGAGACTTTGGCGAGCTTCGAAAGCAATATGGCGACAAGACTTCGGTGATTCGTGAGATGTTCCCCGACTGGTCTGAGGCCGATGTCCTTTTTGCTCTCCAGGAAACAAACGGCGACGAGAACGAAGCCGTCACCCGCATTGCTGAGGGTATGTTACGCTCTTTATCCACATCAACCTCAGTCCACCCACCCCTCGCGCCTACGCTATACACGTACAATCCGTTTAGGATAGCTGCGCACCAACTCCCCACTGCCCTCGTGACCTGATACTACCTGTTTCTGCTGCTAACATGTGCTCTCTTCCAGGAACAATCTCTCAATGGGGCGAGGTCTCAAAGCCCAAGAAGGCTTCCCGAGCTAAGGTTAAGGACCAAGCTCCCGCATCTTCGAACGACGCGACGTCTACTGGACCCCGAGCCACTCGTGGCGGCCGAGCAGTATCTGAGGGAGGCCGTGGCCGAGGCCGAGCTACAGATCGAGGAGGCCGTAGCACACGTGGCCGACCCTCTGCCGCTCCCACTAACGGCGCTGGAACCAAGGACAGCTCAGCCTTGTCTGTTCCCACAGAGGAGTCATCTGCTTGGGGCACTAAGGAACCTAAGAAGGATATCTCAGAGGAGAACCAGCCCATTGCTGAACAACCTGCCCCATCTGCAACAACAGAGGCACCCAAGCCTGCTGCCCCTGCAGTGAAGACCTGGGCAAGCATGCTCCGTCAGTCCGCTCCGCCCAAGGCCCCGCCCAAGCCAAAAGAAGCTCCTGCTGCTCCTCAGCCAGCTGCTGAACAAGCTGAAACTGAAACTGCCCCCGAACCTATCGAACCCGAGGCTGAGGTCGTGCCCGAGCCCGAGTCCGAAAACGTACCTGCCCCTGCCGTCGACGAAGCTGATGAGACTACACCCGTTGTCGATACCGCTACTCCCGCCGAAGTTCCTCACGTTAATGTAGAGCCCGAGGTGGCTCTCCCCCCCTCCAAGGACGAGCTTACCGAATCAAATCTTGAACAGGTTGTTGACGAATCCAAACCGCCTCCGACTGGCACTGTAGCAAGCACCGCCGCTGACTCTTGGGACCCTCGACAGAACCCTGCAAGTATTACTGCTACACCCATCTCTGCTGCTCAGCAGCAGCATGCTGCCCCTCCCAGCGGATTCGCTGCTACCGCTGCTAAAGCTACAGCTGAGCGAACCGCCCGTACTCCCAGCCATCATCACCATCAGCGCCGTGTCCTCGACCAGGAAGAAGCTGTGCGTATGCCTGGCAACCGAGAGGTTGACCGAGCTGCTGTCCAATTTGGAGCCTTTAGCCTGAATGGTGAAGAAGATATTGACGGCGACCGAGAGGAGCCCGAAACTAGAGCTCAACCCCCCGCCGACTCGCCTATCACCCATCCTCGGACCTCGCTTCCTCCCGCTACTCAGGCGGCTGTCCCCGACTCATTCGCACAGAAGCCCACTTCTACAGTTGCTCCTATCGCAGCTCCTACCGGTATGCTATATATTGACATCAAGTTTGCTCTTGTTTAAACGCTGACATTTCACAGCTCCAGCTGCGCAGGCGCAGGCTCAGATTCCTGGGCAAGGTCCTGCTAGCGCTCAGCAATACGGTCGATTTGGCCAGGCTGGTGTTCAGGAGACAGTCGGAGTCCCCCAGAAGCCACTGGACCCCTTTAACCAACAGAGCACTCCCTCTACTCAACCTCCCTTCGACAACTTCGCTGCTCAGACTTCCCAAGCGCAACAGCCTGGTGGGGCTTTCAGCTCCGCTCCCAGCGATTACTCCTCCTACTACACTGCGAACCAATCCGATCGAAACCCCTACAACTACTATGGCCAACAGTTCGGCCAGCAAGGAGGACAGGGCCAGCAGGATGGCACTGCGTCTCAGCAGCGGCCTTTTGGTGGCTATGGGGCATCTCAGGTTGATAACCTGAGCCAATACCCGCAGAGCGGTCTGCACAACCAACCCCGGTTTGGCGGAAGTGCTGTGGATGCTCAGAACAGCGGAAACAGCACTCCCAACCCTACTACACAGCCTCAGCAACAGCAGCCTCAACAGCCAGGCCAGCAGCAGCAGCCAGGCCAGGGATCACAGCCTCAGTCACACGGCCAGCAGTATCCCGGCTACAACCACCCCTACTACAGCAACCCGTATTATCATCAGTACTACTCTGGATACGGCCAAGGCGGGTTTGGCCCATATGGTAAGGGTGGCATGTATGGCCAGCCCTACGGCATCTCTCCCAATGCCCCCTATGATCACAGCTCATCGCCTGCTGGATTTGCCCAGTCTTCTCTTCATCGAGACAGTGGTTTGGGCTCTGGTCTTGGCGATTATGGCCGCGCGGCTACAACCCAGGCTGGCAGTCAGCCCGGCCTTGGTGGAAGCGCTTTCAACAGCGTCCATGATACCTTCAATCGTGGAGGCTCCGCTTTCCCGTCCCAGGGTCAGTCGTTCAACAGCCCAGCGCAGCCCGGCAATGCCACGGCTGATGACCTGAAGCCATTCGGCGAGCCCAAGGCCGCTTCTGGTCCTTCTCCCTCCCTGGGCGGAGCTCGACCTGGTTCCGCTACCAACGCCCCGCCTGCTCAGAGCGGTCTCCCGCCCCCCCAGAATGTTGGTGCGTATGGCGGTTATCCTAGCCATCTTCAAGGCCATGGCCTCCATGGTAGCAATGCATATGGTATGGGCGGTAACGCGGGTACCAACCAGCACGGAAATAGTCCCTATGGGTCATACGGACAGGGTTTCAGCGGCAGCGGTTACTACAGTGGCAACCAGCAGCAGCAGCAACAACAACAGCAGCAGCAGCGCGGCGGCTGGGGAGGCAACTATCATTAGAGATCAGATGCCCAGCAGGAGCGTAGCGACAGTCGAGGCCGATGCCTGACGACTGGCATGGTGGTAGCCGACGTAATGTGTTACGGAATATCTTAGGGGACGAGAGGTGAACTATGATCAAGGAGTCGGGGGGGTTATAATCAGCATGATGCATATGGCTTTCATGGAGCCGGACGAATATTCACTCTCACACCTCAAATGTGTCTACGTGTACGTGTACGATTGTTTCTTTTTTTACTTTTTCTCGAGAATCGCCTTAAGAAAAGATCAGGGTGGCATATGGCAAAACAAAACAAATCAAAGGAAACGGGAACGGGAACGGAATGGAATGGAAGGGCAAGGCGTTTCGCCATGGTCTTTTTCCACTCTTTCTTTCACTCTATCCCTCACTGTCATTCTCACTTTACCTGGTATTTCTTCATGTGAAACGCCTGAAGCTAAACAACGAGATTGCGTGCGTGTCATTTTCTTTCCCTGGATCAGGATTTGCTTGCTTTGATGGTATTTTTGGGTTGTTTGTCGGGGGAGGGCTCAACTGCAACGGCTGGTTTCTTATTTACGACAACAAACAAACTTTTGGGAGACGGGGTTGAACGCGTGTTCGTTTAACAATGTATTCTTTCTTGACTTGAATCGTAGGGCGATGAGGAAAGGGAAAAGGCAAGGCGTGCATGGGAGAAGGCAACGGAAAGGAATTGAATGAATTGGTTTGGTCTGGTCAGGCATGAGATTGAGAAGCTCCCTTAAACGGGCTTTGATCCAATGATATCGACGAAAATGAGAAAACTTATTGGAGAGGCAGGCATAGTAGTTGACGTGTGTGATGTGATGTGATGAGAGTAGTACATGAGTGACTGGATGGATACGTGCATATTGTGTAGACCGAGGTGGTTGATTGTAGCGAGGCTTGTTGGGGGGATATAAATCTACTTATGCAGGCATCCCCAGATAGGCGATAGACTCTGGTCTGACTTGCAAGTAAAGATGCCACCGAGGTCATGGCATCCCAATGTGTACCACGTAGATAGCAGCGCAGGACTTTGCGTGAGGAGAAGAAGCTGGCCACTTCGTATTGTATGTACGACTGACTACCAAGTCTGTTAACCGTGAAACTCGGCTACAGAGGAGATTAGTCACCAGCTCAAGCGGGGAGCTATGAACAAAAGAGGAGAAAGGGAGAGAATGACGGGATAGATGGCCTCTTGCTCTAGAATTAGGCAATAGATGGACTCGGTTGTGCTGTTGGTGCTGGATGGCTTTCTCCGGCAGCGGAACCCGGCATGTGAGTTGTGAGTTGGGGATGATGAGTGGGGTTGAGAATACCTTAATACCTACCTAGGTAGTAGTTATCACAGTGGTTCTTCTTGGAGAGAAGGGAAGAGAGCGTCTGTTGCATCCTGTAGGTAGCCTATCATGTCATTGAGATAAGATTCTTGTAGCAATGGTCAACTTAAGCTAAGAGTTGTATTGTCTATCTACTGAAGCTTGTTTGCCTGTCAATGTAACCAAGTGTTGCAGTTCCGGGAATAATATTATCCTCGTCAAATGAAAAGGAATTCGCCATTCGGCTAGACCCCATCCCATCCCCCACAGTCTACCCCAGTCAACTAAGACTAACTGACTGATTGATACGCAGGGGGCGAAAATAGCCCAATCCAAGAGCTCGCCAAAGGCATGTAAAAAGATCATGAGCATGTACAAGTATTTTTATCACCCAGAATTCAAGTCCCAGGTTTTCTGTCATCCCTCATGTCATCCATCCATTGGGGGTTTAGGCTTGGCTCTCAAGGGTTTGGGTCAATGTAATATATATTACCCTGGGCATTTCCCCATTGTTTCCGAGGCGATGACTTTTGAGACTCTCTCGTTCTTTTATTCTTGCTCCTTCGTTCGAGTGAGCAAAAAGAGTTGAGATAATGGCTGACCATTCCAGTGAGAAGAGACCAGATCTTGTCATCGACTCTGCTTCCCATCCAGGGCAGGAAAAGATTGTCCCTGGAGATGTGATCGATAACGAAAAGTCTTGTCACCCTCTCAGCTCCGACGATCGGCCTGAAGAGAATATCTCTTCCAACGATGACGGGAGCGGTGATGCAGAATCGGTAGATTCGAAAGATGAGTTGAGATTATCCAAGGCTCGCTGTATAGCTCTCGTCTGCACTGTCACAGGAGCTTCTTTTCTCAATGTGAGTCTACTATAACAGATAAGTATCAGACTCACACATTAACAATGAATGATAGACCCTTGCTAGCCAAAGCGTCGTTATCATCCTTCCTCAGATTGGTCGGGCCCTCGATGTTCCTGATACGAGACTTCAATGGGTAGTATCATCCTACGTCTTGACATTTGGCTGCTTCCTCTTACTCTGGGGTCGAATCGCAGACATCTACGGCAAGAGACTGATTTTCATCCTGGGGTCCTTTTGGGTTACTATCTGCTGTGTTGTCAATGCTTTTATACCCACTGAGATTGCATTCGATCTATTCCGTGGCCTTCATGGGCTGGTAAGTTACATCTTACTATGACACTGGACACGGCTGATATATCCAGGGCGCTGCTGCTAATGTTCCCACGGCGATTGGTATCCTCGGGACTACGTTTCCTCCCGGCAAGGCAAAGAACTACGCTTTCAGTGCATATGGTGTGTTATCTCCAAGTACACATACTCATCCGGAGTCTACTAATAACGCCAGCTGCCGGTGCTCCCCTTGGTAGCGTCTGCGGTAATCTCGTCTCTGGTCTCATTGCGGAATGGGCCAGTTGGAAATGGGTCTTCGGTGCCCTAGCCATCATGGCCGGCATGATCGCCGTTGCTGGTGTCTTCTGCATCCCGTCTCCGCCCCCGGAACTCCGACCCGAGCACAACAACCTCCGGTCCAAGACGGCGGCTGTGGACTGGATTGGTGCTACTCTCATCACATGTGGACTCCTTGCACTTATGTTTGCTTTGACAGAGGGAAACGTTGTTGGCTGGACTGCGCCTTGGATCCCCGTGCTCATCGTTGTTTCGTTTGGGGTCATCGTTGCATTCTTCTTTTGGCAGCGATACCTTGAGCAGAAGACGAATCGACCACCCCTCGTCAAAGTGTCAATCTTCAACAACTGGCGATTCACAGCCGTCATGATAATCATGGGCTTTTTCTTTGGTGGATTCAACAACTATCTCATCTACGCAACGTACTACTTCCAGGATTACCAAGGTCTCTCGCCACTACAGACAATGTTGCGGTTCATCCCTACTGGCGTAAGCGGCTTCGTGGTTGCTTTTTTCACGGCCTACTTCCTTTCACGGGTTCCGACATTCTTTATCCTGGCGTTTGGACATGTGGCTGTTTGCATCGCTGCTGTTTTATACGCCGTGCCAATTCCCCCGACTACATCATACTTCGCATGGGGATTCTGGGCTATGATCCTCTCTGTTGTTGGAGCCGACACGGCTTGGCCTTGCCTCACGCTCTTTACTTCACATGCTCTTCCCAGAGAGGACCAAGCTGTTGGCGGTGCACTCATCAACTCTTCTGGTATGATCGGTCGTGCCATTTCACTGGCCATTGCCACCTCGATACAGTCATCTGTCATGGCTAAAGAAAGAGGTGTGAGTGTTCAAGATGTTGGACCAGTCAAAGAATGGGATGCGCCGTCTCTAAATGGTCTTCGCGCCGGAGCTTGGACAAACTTTGGCATCCTTTTCATTGCACTCCTACTCGTTGTGTACACTTTTAGGAGTATGGAAATCATTGGAAAGATTCCAGATCGCCCGGAACGATCTGAGGGCGTGATTAACCAGGAAGATACAGACTCTGAGAGACGAGGATAATGAGGCTCCAAAGTGACAGAACAAGTCAAAAATAGGATATCTAACAAGCAAAGTAGGATCAAATATCTGACATTTACATTTGTTCCTGATTTGGTGATATTCATGTCAGAGCCGGTTCTTCTATTGCACCGTTATCCCATTCCGTGCCTTGATATCTCTCCGCCGGGCCATCAGTCAGACCGATCCATGGTGTCGTCTTGGCCAGAACAGCCGCTGGAAGTACATACAATTCAGCTCATAAGGGAGAAGGACAAGTATATTTATCTATATTGATGTCTCACTTCCAGATAGCCCCAACGTCCACGTCAACATAATGATCGACATTGTCCTTCTAGGTGCGACGGGCTACACAGGCCGCCTGTGTGCATCATACATGGCACAGGTCCTCCCGGGCAATGTATCGTGGGCCATCGCAGGTCGCAGCAAGAGTAGACTCCAAGCCTTACACAGAGAACTTCAACTTGAAGAACCAAAATGGCTGTTGTACGCCCTCGTTTTACATCCACTTATTAAAAGCCTATAGGTGCTGTGTACGCTCTTGACCTCGCCTCCGATGAAGCCATCTCCGAACTCGTCAAGACATCCCGTGTCATTATAAATACTATTGGCCCTTATGCTACCACATGTGGAACGTCTGTGATCAGAGCCTGCGCTGAGAATGGTACCGATTATGTGGATTGGTAAGCATACTCCAACTCACAGCGTGCAGGTCACATTCCAACTTACACCAACAAAGTAGCGGAGAGCCCGCCTGGATGCGAGGCATTATCGCCCAGTATGACACGATAGCCTGTAAATCAGGCTCAAGAGTATGACAATTAAGCAGTCTACTTTCCACTATTTGTCTGACGCTACTAGATTATTATGACCGCTGGCTGGGCTGCCGTTCCCGCAGATCTATCCGTTTATCTCGCCGCTCTGAAACTTCAACGTCACTTCTCTCTTCCTACTCGCGAAGTCCTGGTCTGTCTTGAAGACGTCCGCGGGTCTTTTAGCGGCGGAAGCCTCAGCTCACTGTGTAGCCTCGAGCCCGTCCACATGGCCCCTTTTGATTTATCTCCCGTGCCTAGGACTGAACAGCAAGTGGCCAAAACGAGGGTTCTCCCGCCCCCCAACGCTTTTGACGTCCAGATTGTTGATGAACTGGGCGTTTTAGTGGAAAGTACCCATGCACAGATAGAAGAGGCTGTCGTCGGCCGAAGCTGGGGCTTATACGCTGGTCATGGATCAGACTCCCTGAGCCCAGATGGCTACGGAAAGGATTTCTTCTTCTCATCACGAATGAAGTGTTCTAATGCTGTATCAGCATTAATGTTTCGAACAAGCCTCTCCCTTCTCACAAATGCCATCACGAAAATACCTCCTGTGCGCTACTTGGCCTCCCGGATGTTCCCACCATGAACAGGTCCGTCTGAGGAAGCCCGTAGAAGTCACTATTTCAAGTATCGCACTCTGGCTATAGCAGATAACAAAGGGGCTGAGCCTGTTCCGAAAGTTGAAGTTAAGTTCGCATATGGTGGTGATCCGTATGTGTTCACGGGCGTGGCACTGACGCAAGCGGCATTGGTCCTCCTGCAAGGTGTTATACCTGCTCACAAACGCGGAGGTATTTTGACACCTGCAGCATTGGGTGAGGAGTTTGTAACGAGGCTAAAGAAACCAGAGACGGGTGTCGGGATAGAGGTTGAAGTACTGGCCGAATAATCTGACCGTGTATAAAAGAAGATTCCTTGCTATATCGTGTTCGTGTCCAAATCTATGCAACATATAACACAATCCCAATGACAAGATAGTACCAGTTATCTATAGGGTATCAAAACACAATAATCACTCACGTCAACGTCCCCGGAGCCCTTCCTCAATGCCATGCTCGAATTCATCCTCCTCTTCCACCTGCTCGTCACGAGCAAGTCGCTTTAATCGCTCTCGTAACGCCGGATCCTGCTCCAACTCCTGCCATAGCTCAACATCCCATTCTTCGATGTTGTCACCGCGACGACTCTTTCCCCAGGGCGGCCAATCCCAAAGTCCAGCAATTAGGAGAAGCCGCTTCACGCATTTGAGAACAATCTCGAACAGACCCAGGAGCCCGAGTACAATGAATAATGTTGACCACCATACTGCGTCGTCCCCGAATAATTCCGTGAAACTATTTCGAATAGCGTATGGCCCAGACGGGCTACCAGCATAGGCTGCGTCGAGGAAACACAGCCAAGCGAACCAGCCGATAGTAGTAACAAAGAAAGATACCATGACAATGGTAGACTTGTAATGGGTTTCGAAAATGCTAAGCACGTTAGTCTCGAACTGGTACCCAAACGGGGTAATCACTTACAAAAGTTTCCAGTTGATCCAGAGAACTCCAACTGAAAATGTGAGCGTCCCCAGGGCATACAAGCCTTGGTCGCGCGCTGCCGGGGAGATCCACCCATAGCCAGCCCAGATGCCATACCAACAGACCACACCCTCGATGGCACCAAGAAGCATCCATCGACCAAACTTCCAGATGTTGAGGCCCTGGTTGCGCTGCCCGTAGACATAAAGCTCGGGAACGGCCAACAGTGTCTCGGCGCTGAGATCTTGCTCCCAAATTCCCATGCAGATAACGCAGAGACTCGTGAAAAGAGTATTAAAAACGGTGAGACTAGTAGCTTCATACAGAGACGTGCCGCTGTAGCCGGTGTATCTTTGGTACTGCGCTGTTGGCAGGTAAAAGAACATTTCCTTCCAGAACGTGTAAAGAATGAACTTGGCGGTACGGATGTAATTCCACCGTCCATGGACAAGCAGCATTCTCTGCAAGAATCGGAATTGAGCAATGGCATAGTCTGCCACGCGAGCTGCTTGAAGACCTTCCTTTCCAGATATACCAATGCCCACGTGGCTGGCTGAGATCATGGCCAAGTCATTTGCACCATCGCCGATGGCCAGGGTCAGGCCTCGACGTTTCCTACCATGGTATTTCTTGAGGCGAGATCGGACGGTGCTTACCAGCAGTGCTTTCTGCGCTGGAGAGGCACGGCAGCAAATGACCGAGTTGACCTGCAACATCACCGTAAAGAATGTGGCAGACAACTCTGGCGATTTTTCAACAGCTGCAAGCGTTTGGCCATCAATAACTACCACACTGTGGACTGAGCCAGCTGAAAGATCCTCTTGCAGGGCAATCAGCTGCGAGTCAAGACTTCCCTTGGTAATGTCGAGGATATAGAGATCTGAGCCGGGCCGGCAAATTCTGGCGGAGTGAGCGATGTTGATAGCGGTCTCTCGCTTATCGCCTGTAAGCATCCAGACCTTGATATTGGCCTTTCGCAACCTCTCAATTGTCTCAGGGACACCCTTCTGTAGCTTATCCTCAATGGCCGTTGCACCAACAAGATCAAACGACTGCTCGATCATGTCGCCAGCATCCTCAATGTGCTGTTGACGATCACTGAGGCTAGTCGTGGCCTCGTCCCATATCTTTTTCCACGCCTGATACTCTTGTTCCGTGATGAACTTTTGCGCAAAGAGTAGCGTACGAAGGCCCTCGGAGGCAAAGTCATCCATGTGCTTAAAGCACTTGGAAAATGTCTCAGAGTCGTCAAGCAGGGCTGGATCCTCAAGGAAGGCCAGGTGTTCGGGAATTGGTTGCTGGTAATGAACGGGAGTGTTCAAATACTGGCCTCGGGGGAGATCGATCGACACACCACGAGTCGCAATGGACAGAAGGGGCTTATCCTCCGAGCGTCTAGAAAGTCGGCCAAATTCGAACGACTTGCTTCTATCCACATTGGGCCGTCTGCTTGTACTCCGGTCCCTCGACACACCTGGGTTTCGTCGGATGGTGAGACTAGGCCTGCCACCAAAACTATTACGTGGCTCTTGCTGCTCGCTGCGTCGGTACAGCTCACGCTCGAGCTCAGCGCTCTTTCGAACCTCACTAGCTTTCTGCTTGGCAATCTGCGACATCTTAAGACGAGGTAAGATAGCAGAGTCGGCACCTTTGCAGATGACCGACACACGACCGTCTGGGAAACGAACAACGATCGACATCTTTTTCCTTGCACTGGTGAATTCAATCACGTCCAGGACCTCGTACTTGAGCTCTTCCTCGTGGCCATCAGGCTGGGTGACCCGAAGAGTGATGGTTTGCGTCGTTCGATTAATGACAAGGTAACCGAGTTCCTGAGCAGCCCTGACGAGAGCTAGCTCGTCGGGAGATGCTGCTTGAAACTCTAGCGCTCCGTTCTCCTTGTACTCAGGCAAACAGGTATGGCACAGAGCTACAGCGAGAATGTACTGCTTCGCCTTTCTAGCAAAACCTGAGTTAGGGCGGAGACGTAGGTATTCGATAAGGTCATTCGTAGTAACGTCGGGCTGAATATGATCCGGTCGTCCCGTTGAGCGCCATTGGGACGAAGACCTACGACTCCCAAAGGAGTTGCGCGAAGGTGCCATTGAAGGTCTCGAGGGTGCCATAGATGGGCGATGTGACATGGAAGGGCGAGGTGACATGGAGGGTCGAGATGGCGAGGCGACAACTAGTGGTGCGGATGGTTCATTCGACGACTCGGCCTGTTCCTCTCTGATAACGACTGTGACGGGGTCTGTCTTGTAAACTGAAGGCTCGCTTGGCTCAGACTCTTCATCGAGTTTGAAATCCTCCACTTCATCGACCTTTGGTTCCAGGTCCATCTCATGCAACCAAACAGTTCCTGCGACGCTGATCTTTCGAAATTTCATGATATTGTCCGTCAAGGTTCCCGTCTTGTCTGAGAAGACGTATCCCACCTGACCCAAGTTCTCAAGGATAGTATTCGTATTGCATCGGGCAGGGGTGTCCGTCTCTTCATCATACATTTCAACATCCGAGTTAAGCATCAGCAACTGGCCGATTTTGACGATTTCGAGGCTGATATAAAGCGACAGGGGTACGACATTGTTGAACATAATAATGAATGCAATGATGATCTGGTAGAAAGGCACCTTTGCTTGTTCCAGATACCATGAATGCCTTTCTGTGCTCTTTTGCCATTTGACATAGCCCATGGATACTCCAACAGATAAGACCACAACATAGGTGGCAAGGGTAACAACGATTTTGTTCACAACACGCTCGAGGGCTGGCTTTTTGGCTTTTGGATGCTTGTTAGCGTTCATGCGAATCTTGCAGTCCTCGCCAGTGTTGATTACTAGCCCGATTGCTGTATTGGTGTTGCGAACAACACTTCCGCGATAAATAACCTCATTTGAAGTCAGGGGCACAGTCTTTTCGCTGACTGTCACACGACCATCAAAGTTGTAGAGGTCAGGATTTGGGTTCTCAACGACGAAATCCGCCTTGCACTTGGAAATCCCCTCGATCGTATCGCAGCCTTCCAAAGCGGGCGTGACCTGCTTGCTCTTGAGATTGGTCTCTCCGTCGAGAGCCATGGTTTCGATGTACGCCAGCTTGTTCTCCCCGTCGCTGTGCAGCAAGACAAGGTCTGCGGGAATAGGCTCGTCTCGGCAAAGCCTGATGATATCTCCAACCTTGATCTCGCTCCATCTCACAGGAACCCATCGCAATCCATTGAATTCCTCCTCCGGCACGGGATGCGGCTCAGCGGTCGATTGGGTCAAAAACGGGTTAAGCTTTGTCCATTTATTAACTGGTCGTAGCTTTCCCGTGTATTTATCTTCTCGTCCAAGCACAGTCGCGAAGCCGGCGTTCTCGATTTTATCTAGGCGATACCTTCGATAGTCGTCGTAACCTTCTTTGACAATTGTTAACATCACAAAGAATAAAAGCGGTAGAATAGTAGTGTAGGATCCGGTCGTCGAAAGGCCTGGAATCTGGTGTGGCTGTTAGCAACAAATCCATGTTCGAGGTTCTGCTCATACATACCATCTGCGGTATACCAACGCAAAGGAAATAAAAGTTTCCAACGCGAGAGAACTGAAAGAAAAGTTGCTTGGGTATAAAGTCCCATACTGTATATCTTGACGTTCGGATGCTGTTGGAAACATATGCAAGACCACGGCGGGCATCGATCAAAGGGGTTTCGTGTTCGAGTTCGAGAGGTATACGTCGCCCATCAGTCGACACGGTAACATGTTTGCGACGCAGAATAAGCTCAACAACGGCCTTTTGGTATACATCTGCTGCAGCATCCTTTATGCGATTGACCAATGGCGCGGAGCGACCGGCACCACTGTTGCGACGGCGAACATTGACCTTTGAACTGGCTTTCGGTGATTCAGGGCCTGATGGCGACTCGACTCCAGATCGATCTTGGAACATGATGGCTTGGTGAGGGTGTAAAACGAGTGTATTGAGGTTGCCTTGGCCGACATGCGGGATGTTCACTGACGTCGCAATGGATCGATTGGCGTGACGGGGCGATTAACTTGAAACGAGTGACTACTGTTGTTGCTGC